TGCTGCTGCTGCTGCTGCTACAACCGACGATGACGCTGCTGCCGGCGGCGGCTGCTGCTGCTACAAGCACTACCACGGCTGATCACTACCACCACAACCACAGCGATGACTACTACTACGACGAATGCAACATGAGTGCTCACACCGACGTTGACGACAACAACGTCTATCTGAAAATGCCACTCCGAATCAAAACGGCAACAGCATCTGCAGAGATGGCCCAGGTATTACACAGACATTCGATGATGACGACCTTGGTCACAAAGACGACGATGACGACAACAAGAAGTATGAGCCATGAATCCTGCCGCCTGAGCTTTAAACCTTGATAAAGGCAGAAGCACGGCCTCGGTGATGCCACCCAGCCAGGTGATGTCGGGTTGGAGGATGTGAGCCGCCTTCCTGTCCAAGCCAAAAAAGCATCCACAACTCATGCATACTGGTGCTATGAGGTTCGCATTTGTGGGTAAGTTGTTAGAACTTGGAGTTTAGGGCGTGGAGCTTTGCGTTCAGGCCTTCGCGTGTAAGGGCTAAGGTTTAGGATTTAGGCTTTGTGGCTTGAGGTCTGTTTTCTGGCTTTCCTGAGTGTGTATGGGGTGTCTTCGGAGCGTGGGGCATGTAGACATGCGATGCCCTCTTGCAAAACCTCGCCAAAAGTTTGGGTTAAGGGGTTGGAGACTTGGAGTTGGGTTGGGTGAGATGGTTTAGGCCAGTCACAGTGTACAGAAATTCAGAGGCAAGGAAGTTAGAGCATCTCCAAGCACAAGCCCACGATGAAAGGAGTTGCCGCAATCAGAAGCAAAACCTCGAAATGAGGAATAACGCTGGTGTACTTCTTGACTGAGGCGCGATGAGAGCGGCGGGCCGTCACAAGAAGCTACGAGTAGTCGGGGACCACTAGTAAAGGCCACTAGCAAGTGTTTGGGGATCCCCACAAGCACCCCAGAAAGGATGATCGAACGATACAAGCCCAAGATCTTCGAGTGCAAAAGCACGACACTCTTTTTTCTGGATTTGGGAGTTTCTGACAGATCGTGCAACTCCGGGCTGGAGCAGACAGCCAGACGCCAGGAGATCGGCACTTTCTGCGCTACTCTTGGGCGCGGCTGTGGTGACCCCTGCTTGAGGAGATCTTGTTAGCAGAACTGCCAGGGGCAAAATATTCGTGCAGTTGAAAGGCACTCAGGAGTCTGAACCTCCGAATGCAACATACAAAAGTGCAGAGTAAGATTTCTGCTTGTCTCAGCACTCTGTGCTTCTCTCAGCACTCCGTGCTGTGGCTGCAAATGCATCAGGCCTATTAAACACGACTGGCCCAATGTCCAAATGACAACTTGAAAATGTCCAGCGCTTCAACGCTTCTAAGGAACGAAAACTGCATCAAACTCAGGCTGCACCCGCATCTTTGCTTGCTGGGATGACCTGGGCGTTTCTCAACACTTGTGTGTCCCACTACTCCTTAAGATTGGAGGAGCCTGGACCCTACAATCAATCTGTCTAGAATCCTCACATAGGCCCTACATTCCCTTGCCAATGGACCTGGACTCCTTCATGCTAGCCTTGCTTGCTGAGGCAACCTGCCAATGGCGAGTGAAGCCAGCGCGCTGGAAGCCACCGCCAAAGCTTGGCGAGCTGAGGAACCCAGGGTTTCCAAAGGCTTGAAGGACGACCGCCGCGTCCTTCTGTCTGGAGCGATTAAGGCCATGATTTTTGAGGTTTGGGATATTGATGTCGAGGCTCACGGAGACACGAAACCGCGTAGGGTGCCCCACTCCCTCACGCGTGACTACCCAGACCCCAGCCTTGTTGGCAAATTCTTCGGATCAAGGAAGGCTTGCTTCTTCGCCTTTGTAGGCGTCCTGGACGGGTGCTCCTACACCTTGTATAAATCATCGGTCTAGGCTTCGAAGGCTGAAGATTTCATGCCACTGTGAAAACCAAGCGCGCGTACAAATCTTTGAGAATTATGTGCAGCTTTAGTCATCCTATCTAGTCTGCGAGTCAAAACAACATGGGAACACACCGCACGTGCTAGCTTTGAGATTCGCTATACTTAATGGGACTCTACGCACCAAGAATTACCAACAGCATCCCCTTACAATCAGTGCGTGAGCATCGTATGGTGCACCCTGAAACCCTGTTCTGGCTGCATAGGCTCCAACAGTCGCTGAAGGCCCCTCGATTCCCAGACTACATGCTCCATTTAAAATAGAAAGTTTTACATTAGGGGTGTTAGGGTTCAAGGCTTGGGTTTGGGAACTTAGCTCCTTGGGCTTAGACAAACAAAATGCGACGTTCTAGTACATGTACATGCCGTATAGTTTGCCACTGCATGAACACTTGTTTTAGTGGTTCTTCAGGCTACCCTCCCAAAAAGCGCCCCCTTAAAACCTGAACCCTGAAGCCCAACCATGCAACCCCAATCCCTAACCAACCATCTTAAATCTCAAACCTTCCGCGCTCAAACTTAGCTCCCAAACAATCAAACCTGAACCTCAACCTTCATACCGAACCTAAAGGTATTATCTATCCTGGCCAGCTTTACCATGCCAGGGCCCCAATCATAACCAGAGTAGCTGCGTCTTCTAGATGGTATAGAAGTACGTCGGACTATGCAGAAATTCTATAAGGACCACAAGAGGCAGTGCATAAGGGCTATACACGGATCAAGGCTGAAGTATGAATACGCAGGGCACATTATCTTATAGAAGCTCAACTGAACTCGCTCAGGCATCGAAGGCTTCGCTGTAGGGCGGCATGGATGCGAGGATCGGGCCGTGACTTCGGGTAACCGGGCAAGCTCGCACTCCTCATCGCTGCGTGCAAGGCGCGTGGCAGAATCAGGATCTGACCTGCCAGCAACAGTCAGAAGAAGATTATAAGATTGATACAAAAATCTTGAAGCGCAAGAATGCGAAGAGATGCCTCATGAAAAGAACTGACCCATCAGACCAACAATGATACTCTTAAATGCTGTGACATCCTCACGATGTGGAGACAGTCTTTGTCCCGTCCGTTTATCGTTTATCAAGTTCTGGAAATATTCAGAGCCCTATCCCATCTGCTATGCGGTCCGCAGCCATCCCTGACAAGAGAACCCCACAACAGTCCACTCTGTAGGCTCCTAGCGGACTAGGCCACTTCCAATCCACCACATCCCTTGCTCTTCCTGTGCAATTGCTGAGTGAGTAGTTGCAGGCGAAAATTGCTGCCCCTACCATCCCTAGTTCTGCAGCCCAGAGGCCCCTATTTTCCTTAATTTCACAGCCCAGAGACCCCGAAGGAAACGAGTCGTAAGATCAGTTCCAGCATCTATGAGCGGTACAATCCCCTAGAACTATCTGCGCACACCCTGTAGACCCTTTTCAAGTTTTTAGACAAATGAGCTTCCCAAATCCCAGATCGCAAGCAGTGTCCCCCTCAAGTTGTTTGGACAAATAAGCTCCCCAAATCCCAGATCGCAAGCAGTGTCCCCCCTCAAGTTGTTTGGACAAATGAGCTCCCCAAATCACAAATCGCAAGCAGTGTCCCCCTCAAGTTGTTTGAAAAATCAGCTACCCAAATCCCAGATCGCAAGCAGTGTCCCCCTTAAGTTGTTGGACAAATGAGTTCCCCAAATCACAAATCGCAAGCAGTGTCCCCATTAGATGTTTGGACAAATGAGCTCCCGAAATCACAAAGCGCAAGCAGTGTCCCCGTTAAGTTGTTTGGACAAATGAGCTCCCAAAATCACAAATCGCAAGCAGCTCCAGGAGCCTGTTAGAAAGGAATTTGCAATATTGGGCTGTTCAGGCGCTCTGCTGGAGCAAAGCCCTGAAATCAACTAGGCGAAGGCGTGCACCCTATGCACCAGGCAGCTTCTACTTGCTTACTTAGCGGCTTCTGCAGAAGTGGAGAAGCCGCCGATTCTGCGCCAACAAGCCGGCTAAGACCCTCCGGTTCCTGGGACCATGCCGGATTCAAGGTTTTAGGGATCGGTGTTTAGGGTGCGCGGGTTTAGGGTTGAGTGTTTAGTGTTTGGGCCCGGGCGCGCCGCAGTCCCTTCCATTATTTTCGTACTTATAAATTACATACTCTTGTATCTTGCATGAATAGCAAGGGCATTCTGAAAACAAAAACCATTTCTCTTCTTACCGGTGGGTTGCGTTCTCAACTGTCACTATGACAATCTTTGCTAGCATTTACTGTTATTGCTACAATTCTACTGCTCCTACTTGAGCCCCAACCCTAAAAACACTCAACCCAAAGCCCAGGCCCTGAACACAGATGTGGCCAAAAACAGAACCCTGAACTCTACACCAAAACCCTGAAAAAAGAGCACAAAACCCAAAACCTGAACCATGAACGCCAGTCCCCAAACCCTCAGCCAAGTTTCCTGAAAGCAGAACCACTCGCTCTCCAAGGCATCTCGGGCTGTGGCCTGGAAGCTGGATAAAAAGCCTGATCTGGAATAAAAACGCAAACCCGCCTGAACAAGGAGTGACTCGGGTTTTGCACTGACGGATTGAGGCTTAGAGTTCCAGGGTTTGAAGATTTGGGGTTCAGGCTTTAGGCTCTACTCTCTGGGGTTTCAGGTTAAGTCTTACGGACCCGGAACTCCGGGCCCGCGACCCGTTTGGCAGGCGAAGGCTCCAGAAGCCAGAACCTGAAGACACGACAACAATGGGGGGTTCGGGCTTATCACGCTTAGAATCCTACTTTTTGTTGGGTAGCCTCCTATTATGGGACATCCAGGGGATTATGCCCACAAGCAGTTTTAATTGCTTACCACACTTTACTGTTGCTTTGCTTTCCCAAAATATTGTTGGACTGTATGCAAATACAACGGTTGCAAGGACTATATCTATAGACATTGCAAGTACTGATAGCTTCTTAGCGTTGCCACGCTGTTTGGACCTGCCTTGCAACTTCTTATGCTGAACCCTATTTGCACTGATCACCCATCATATTCGTCATCCTAAACCTCTTTCTCTTAGTATTAGTTACTGCAAAAAACCATGAAGCACTTGATAAACATGATACTCGAAATCCTAAATGCTAGAACTGCTTTCATTGATCCAGGAGGCACAAGGTCGCAGGCATCCTCGCTGCGAAACATCCGCAGCAGAGGGCGATCAACCGGAAGCCTGCCAGAAACAAGAAGTTTCTGAAAGTCCCCCTGTGGTGGAGTTTTGGAGGGTTGGCTCCAGGCTTTGACGCTTGGATTTATGGGCTGTTGGGGTTAGACTTTTTGCGGGTTTTAATGGTTAGGTGGGAGGAGCTGCATGGGGTGAAGACCGGATCATATTTCCGAAAGAACATGTCCTCCTTATCAGGCCGTCATCCCTGTACATATAGGGACCACCAGTTTTGGGAAGCAGGGTCCTGTGACTGTTGTAGGGACACTGCCACCATGCTACAGGACAGATTTCTAGAAACTGAATATCCAAGAAAAGACGTTTTTCAAATCCAGGGTTTAGGCAACACCCCTGCAAATCCCGCTAAGGCCTGAAGAGTTTTGTCGCAAGCTCCGTCTCGAAACGCGTATCTCCCAGGAAGGGGTAGCCTTGAAGAACAGCAGGTTTCGGGTTCACGGATTGAGGGATGGGAATTTAAGATTGACGATTGAAGATCTAATGTTTGCTCCACTGGGCTGAAGCGATAAGGTTTCTGGTTTGGATTTCGGGTTTGCGGGATCAAGGTAACATCTAGCAACATGAGCTCAAGAATCTTAACATCCAGGTAACATGACCACCTAATTTGATCTCTTCAACAGCAATCAATCTACTTTCAGCTTACAGGATCAAGAATGCACGCATGACATGCAGTTATCTCGCGTTACCGAACGCTGGTGGCTGAATCACAAGGGGTTGGTCCATGGTCGCGGTGTACTTCACTCCACGTCAACCCATGTGCTGCAAGGTCACGCAACGAGCGCTCCAGCTCGAGCACCGTATGTGCTCGTGCAAGACCGCATAATTGCAAGCAAGGTGCTCTGGGTCAAAAGGTAGTAAAGCACGACGCCTAAGGCGAAAACATCTGCGCCAGTGCCGCCCCTACGCTCCTGGTAGATCTCTGGAGCCAGAAATCCTCAGTTTTTGATTTCTTGCAACGTTATGCGTGTAACTTTTGGCACATATGAGACGACCACGACTGCCACTACTACTATTTCTACTACTCCCCCTTCTCCTCCTCCTCTCTCTTCTGCTATCTGCTGCTACTGCTATTGCTACTGCTACTGCTGCTGCTGCTACTGCAGCTACTATTGCTGCTGCTGCTGCTGCTGCTGCTGCTACTACTACTACTACTACTACTACTACTAGGATGACGATGACGACGATGATGACGACGACGACGACAACTACTACTACTTCTACTTCTGCTGCTGTTGCTATGGATGCTGTTGCCATAACTGTTAACGGCCACCTCCGTCCCCTACCAGCTACACTTCAGCTGGGAATGCGCGAAACAAGGAAATAGTATAAACACCACGTCCGATCCAAGTAAGTGACGGGGCGTTGCACCGCTGCTACTACCACTGCCCCCACCGCCACCACCACCGCCACCAGAACCCTATCCACTGCTCTATCTGCCTTTCCTTGTAGGCGGACAACCCCTCCTACTGCGTACTTCCCCGATGACAAGGAAGACGGCGTTGACAATGATGTTGACACGATGGATAAAACCCTCGGCAACACCGACAACGATGACCACCACCACCTCCTCTTCCTCCATCACCACCCCCATCACCACCACCACCACCACCACCACCACCACCACCACCACCATCACCACCATCACCACAACCACCACTACCGCGACTACCACCACTAACACCACACCACCACCTACACCAGTAAAACCACTACCACAGCAACTGCCGCCACTACCACCACATCCACAGCCACCACGACAACAAGAACAACATTCGTGACGACGACGATGACCAAGGCCCCAACCAGAAGCGCGTCAACAACCACAATCACAACCACAACATAAACTACCGTACCATGACTACAAAGACCACAATCATGACGACTATGATGATCATGCCAACCCAGGGCAAGACTGCAAGGAAGTTGGCAAACTGCTTTGCGATAGCAAATCTGAAGCACGAAACACACTGCGGAGACGAGGAACCCAACGTGCCACAAGCCCAATCTGTAGTTTGAGCGCCTAGCAGGAGCATCTACAAGCCAGCGGAAAGCTGTTGGCTTCGGGTTACTTTAAGTTTACATATCTCAGGCGCATGTGGCAAACCCCAAGCCAGACGTCCGGGGCAGTCTCACTTACAATGTGAGCACCAGCATTATGCCTCATTGGCAAGAATTCGCGCATGAGACCCTACGCAAACAGGAGAACCCAGTTTTCGGAAAGTTTGCCAAAAGCTGCATGGCTTTTCTTCATTGATTATCGCTTCATCTTGCTTGCGCAACAGGTATGACTGCTTGGATGTTCATTCGTATAAACAAGAAGGGTTGAAAGTTAGGATGGGCACGATCATACCCTCGCTCGCTGGAACCCCAACTGTTCCCCCTTTATCTTTGCAGAATCTTTAAACCTACCAACAAACCTGGAAGGTTTTCCCACGTCGCCACTTCAGCTTGGTGTAAATTAGGGCTCAGGGTCCAGGGCTAAGGGCTAGGGGCTTCGGGCTTAAGGGTCGAGCATTTCTAGAGGGCGGTGTCAGCCCAACAATCATTGTGATACCCCTAAGTTGGGAGATACTCACCCTATATCCCAAGATATCCTTGTATAAACCCCATGTAGCCCCTGTAGAAGGACCCCTGATTGTTGGACAACCCTACCGCCTTCTGACAGAAATGTTGCCAGATCGAAATCAGCCAAAACCACCCGGCGGCCACCATCTTGAACCTTTTTTGGGGCTCAGCGTTCAGGGCTAGCTGCACAGCAGCACCAAGTATGATGGTCAGAGAAGTCACACACGCCCTGCTTCGAGAATAACAAGCAGAAAAACCATAAAAAATACTAGCAGCACCACACCCGACATGAGCACAATAGTGCGTTTGTAGCCCTTGATGTCGCACTACGAACTGCGATCAGAGCACTAGCACGTCATGGACAAAACGGCGGTCTGATATAGAAGCACAGGATCTTTTTAGCCACTTTAATCTGCCCTCGTCAGTCATGTCGCGTAAAAGCCCATGGAACGCATTTCCTGAAGCAGGCAGAAAACACATGTTGTTCACACATTTCTCAATCTACATGAATGCAAAGTACTGATTTGGCGATTCCACTTGCTGGACTCTCTCAGAGGACGGGAGACAATTCCGTTACAGTTTACAGGCCATGATGATATATCTAAAGGACCCCTCTATATGCCCCAAAAAATGAACAAGGTTCCTTTCACTCACGGAAAGTTCGCCACAAGTCCCAATGCAAACTTGTCGAGAAACGGGTCAATAACTATCACAAGACTTTATGCGGACTGCTACACAGATGCTTTCCGCCAATTCCAGCAAAGCCTGAGCAAGCTTATCAGCGAACCAAGTCACCACAGCCGCTCGACAGCCAAAAAAACGCAGGCGACATACAGTAAGGATTGTATCTGGGATTGCTGCAACAAAGGAAGGATCACAGATCACAGCATGTTCGATCCGTCTCGGCCTTTGGGGGTATTTTTACAGCTGCTACTACTGCCCACCATGACTACCAAAAAAGTGGGAAACAAATAACCCTCCCCTGCCTTTAACCTTAAACCCCAAACCCCCCACCCTACACCCTCAAGAACTCAAGCCCAAATCCCTAAAGCCCACAAACCCCGAACCCTGAACCCCCCCCCAAGCCTTCAAGCCCTGAACACCAAAAAAACCCTAAACACCCCTCTATAACCCCTATATATCTCCTATTATTACCCCTATGACAACCCCTATTATAACCCTAAAAGCTGCCAGAAAGCCATGATGTTGGCATCCTTCACATCCCGGTGAACGATTCCAAGCCTCGGTCTGCAGTTTGCTCTGTGCTTTTTGGTGGGGGTGGGTGGGTGGAGGGGGGATATGAGATATTGGGGATAGCTAGGGCTTATAATAGGGATATAACAGGGATTATCATAGGGGTTATGTAGGGTATATAATTGGGGATATATTGGGATAATGGAAAAGAAATGGAAACTTCTGTTAAAGCTTTGGGATTTGGATGCTTTAGGGTGTCGGATTTTGGGGATGGGGTTTGGGGCTTTGGGGTTTTGGATGTTGGGCTTGAGGCTTTAGGTTTTTGATTTGGGGTTTAGGATTTGGGGTATTGGTCTGTGGGTCTAGGGATAAAGGTTTAGGGTTTTAAGTTCTACGCTTTGGGATCTGCATTTGAAGTTCAGGGTTTGGGCTTGAAGCTTCAGGGCTTGCAGCTGGAGTGTCACACTTCGACCCGGGGCCGTTGCCTGGCTGCCATTCACACGAAAATGACTCATGCGGACTGAAGCGGTGATACTGTCCTCACTGTCGCCGCTGCCATCTCAACCCCATGCATGGATGCATGTGCGCCTGCGGTGCCCGGCCACAAACCTTGTTCACGCTGCCCAACCAACCTTGCAGACGCTGAAGCTCTTGAACGAGCAATTTTCAGCGATGAATTCGCGAATCGCGGGCCTGAGACCCTCGCCAGGGGCCGTCGTTCCGCTCAATATGGTCAAGCTGGTGCCAAAATCGGAGGTGGTTATGGAAAAATCAACAGGCACGTACGTCATATCTAATGCGTAACTGTCGAGGCTGTGGTCTAGGCTCAGAGAGTCACTGCGAGGAGAGCAGGCGATCACGTGCACACGAAGCATACGTAACACAAACGACAGCCAGATGCGGCGGATCAGCAAGCGCGAAAAGCGAGCGGCTAAAAAGAAGATTGCTTCTGGAGGATAGAGGGCTTTTAAGAGAGAAAAAGAGAGAGAAAGAAAGAGAGTGAGATTTCGATTTTGAAATCGCACAACCTCGAGGCGTCCCTTGCGCTTGGGGCTGGACGCCTTTGGACGCGTGGGGCTTTTGATGTTGGGTTTAAGGTCTTGTGTTTGGAGCTTTGCATCTTGGATTCTGGGCATAAGGCGTTGGGCTGCGGATGCTCCGGGTTTGCGGATGCGATTTCTTAGGGCTTTGGATTAAGGATAATTCAGGGTGTAGGGTTGAAGAGTTTGGGCCTCCTTTGCTTCAATTTGGGGGTTGGGGTTGAGACTTTTGCGTTTCGGGCTTAGGGTGTTGGGTTTTTGGTAATGGGCTTTGAGTTTTGGGTTTAGGGCTTTTGGTTTTTGGTTTGGGGCTTTTGGTTTTGGTTTTGGGCTTGTGGTTCAGGGTGTTAAGCTTTGGGATTTGGATTTTGGGCTTCATGGCTTGGCCTGGGGTTTGGGCTTAATGCTAAGGACGCAGGGTTTTCAGTGTTGGGTCTCAAGTTCTTTGGATTGGGGGCTGTATAGGATTTGGATTTCGCGCTTGTTTAGAATTGGACGAGGACGACCTGCTGCTGTACTGCTACTGCTACTGCTGCTGCTGCTGCTGCTGCTTCTCCTTCTACTTCTACTTCTACTTCTGCTTCTGCTTCTGCTTCTACTTCTACTTCTACCTCTACTTCTACTACGATGACGACGACGACTACTACTACTACAACTACTACTCCTGCTCCCACTCCTACTCCTACTCCTACTCCTACTACTACTGCTACTACTACTACTACTACTACGACCACCACCACCACCACCACCACCACCACCACCACCACCACCACCACCACCACCACCACCCTGCTTCTTCCTGGACAACTACCAGCGCTGTTCACACCATGGCTACTTCCTGTGCGCGAGGAATTGATGCGGGCCAGCTGCGGGACGATGAATCGAGCTCCCAAAGTCAGAGAGCCAAAGAGCCAGCATCAGGGTTCTGCCGGGGCCGAGATGCACTGCGGAGGGTCGGGGGGGACTGATTGAGGGATAACTCAATCTTTTCTGGCTTATAGGCACTGCAAGCATGTTTACTCAGCCCCCCGACCCTCCTAAGAAGGAGCGCTCCATCTTTCATACTCGGTGGCTACAGTGTAGGTAGGACGCGGCAGCTATTCTTTCAAAGACACCACAAACACAGATTCGTTTAACCTCGAGTCTAGGATGTGAATCCTAGATCGTAATCATCTAAGCCTTGTTTTTTGCGGTACCGTACACCAGACCCACTGTACATCCTAAAGCCCTAAGCCCTAAAACCTGGGAGCCTAACATCCTAAACCCTAACAAACCCTAAATCCCAAGGCCCTAAACACTGAAGCCCTCGGGACTAAACCCCCCAACCCCGTTTTGGAGCGCAAAACCGGTCCTGAACCTGGGTTCAGACCAAAGAATTCCCAGAAGCTCTCCTCTGCAGGTTAGGATTTAGGGTATAGGATTTAGGGTTTCGGATTTAGGGTTTAGGGTTCAGGGTTCGGGGTTTAGGGGTTAGGGTACAGGGCTTAGAGGTTTAGGGTCTAGAGTTTGGGGGTTCGGGCTTAGGGGCTCGAGGTGCGCCCCCGAACCACCTACTACCGGGCCCCAAATACAGGATATACAAGGATATATAAGTAAATAATCGATAAAGGATGTAGGGACGCATGGGTATATGTGGGATTGAAGGTTTATAACGGAAGGTCAAAAGAAAAAGGACATGGAAAATTACATTGAAACCGGTGTTACAAGGGCCAAAACAATCAAAACATTACAGGTCCCAGATTCCCTGTATTAATATAGTCCCCCTTAAGTAGATAGAATATGGGGTATGTGGGGATCTTATTACAATATACCCAAAGCCATATTCTCTCCACTTGAGGGGACTATAAGGTCCTCAAAAAGACCTCAAAACGATGTTGCTGGTAATTCTACAGGCTTCTACATTAACATCCGGAGCTTTAAGCCCTACACCCACTTTGGCACATCTACACATGCTGACAGCATTTTTGACCATGCTATCCCTGAATTCAAGACTAAAGCCTACACCGTGTAAGGGTAATGTTCCATCTTCTTTTCCATGTGATTCTCCATTCTTCCCGAAACCCCCAAAATACCCCTCTATAACCCCCCTCTATACTATAATCTCGTGGAGTCTGCTTACTGGGCCCCTCATATAACCCCAATAGAACCCTAATATAACCCTAATATAACTCCAATAGAACCCTAAGATAACCCTAATATAACCCCAATACAACCCTAATAAAACCCTAATATAACTCCAAAAAACCCAAACCCCAAACCCTAAACCCTAAACGGCAGGTGTCGCTGGATCTTGATCTGCTCTCGCAAATTGCACCGTGCACCCTCCGGGGCTCTCCCTTTCGCGACGTCAATCGACATGGCTTCTCTAAGTTCCGCGACTTTAGGGAGGGTTAAGGGTTTAGGGTTCAGGGTTCAGGCTTGAGGGTTTAGGGTTTAGGGCAGATCAGAATTTCAGCTGGTTCTGAGGGATAGAGAGATCACAAAATTTAACATATCGCTTTCTAGGAGAGTGCTTGCTTTCGCATCTGGATGGTAATTACTTACGTTTGTGGCAAAGCGCGACCCTAAACCCTTAAAGCTTAAACATTGAACCCTAAACCCTACACCACACTAATGATTAGGTTGAACCCCCCACCCAGTACTAGTGACTTTACGGGATAATAGTAACTACATTAGGGTCCTCTTATATATTCCCATTACACCACTACTACAGGGTGGAGGGCCCTCTTAACTCATATACCTGACTTAAGGGAAGATCTGGTTTAGGGTTTAGGGTTGAGGGTTGAACGGTGTCCTCAGACAAAAGAGTATTGGGGTTTAATTAGGGTTGTATTAGGGTTTTTATAGGGTGATATTAGGGGCCCAGTAAACACACTCCATGCAGATCATGATGGTAATGATAATTATAGAATTAATATTAGCAATACTTGTAATGGTTACAATAATAGCAAGACTAATAACAATAAGAAAAAACAGCCATTACAGTATCAAAAATAGAAATGGCAATAATTAAAGGAATGAACACAGAAATGATGACAGTCATAAATGTAATACCAGGGAGATGGATGCGTGCGAAGCAATTGAAGCAAACTACAAGCAGACAACAAGGAGCCCAATTGGCCACGAGCACGCGGTTTGGGGTTTCGGGTTTAGCTGACGTATCTCTGGTTAGCAAGGAATAATGGAATTGGTCCTCATAGTAGTCCATATATAATCCCGAAGAATCCTGTAGTTTCCGTTTTCTTTTCCATTCCTTCATTCCCTGCTAGCCAGAGGTAAGCCGGGAGGGCTCCGTTGGATGGACCATGCAACTTGATGGTACTTGCACCGGTGCACTGCCATCGCGCCTCTGACGGCATAACCCCGAACCCCGCACCCTTAACCCGAAACTCTGAAAGCACCAGCCTGCTCGACTGCTTGGTAGCTTAGAGGCTGCTTGAGGGAGTCATGCAAATCCTGCCAGGCGGACAGCTAACACATCTGCTTACACATGTAAGAATAAGAGTAACAGCAGTAGTAGTAGAAATCGTAATAATAACAATAATAGTAGCAATAAACTGGTAGTCATCATCGTCGAAATGACACTAGTAATGGTAATACCAATGATAATCATGATAATAGTGGCTGCCTTCAGCTCCTCAGCAGCCCCAGCATCTTCTGGCAAGTTGTGTCGCTCGCCTCGAGCTACTTATGGTATCCTAAACCCTAAACCCTAAACGAATCATTGGGCACGCTTCTTGCTAGAACGCATTGTGCAAGAGAGCGCCTCCCAACTCAGCTTCCCTGACGGCACGCTGCTCCATTGAAACCTGCAAGCCAGCTGAAGCCACCCTGTTATGTACATATATGTGCACAAAGAAGGGGGGAGAGTGTGTGTGTCTGCCTATAGATTTATGGACCCCCCGCAAAACATGATAAACTGCCTTTGATGCACTTTATCATATATAGGATCAGGAAATGCTGGAATACAAAAACCACGGCTCTTCAGTATAAGCAATAAGAAACTAA